TTTTTTTCAAATCTTAAGAAAAGAAAAGGGAAAAATTAGTGATTATATAGGTGGAACTAAAATATATGCCAAATATATAATACCTATATAATATTTAGAATTCATAATTTCATAAAAATATTAACCTTCATTAAAAAAAGAAACGTGAAGGATTAGAGTTTAAAAAACAAATCCAATATATATATTAATATCTAATGCTTATTCAATATTTATAAAAGTATTATACAAAAAATACAACTCTATACAATATTTAGGAGGGTATTATACAAAAAATATAGTTCTATTCAATATTAAAATTTAAAAGATAAATCCAAAATATGTCTAACCAAATACAAGAAAAAATTGGATCAAAATTGATTTTTATTAATTAAGAACAAATTATTAATTAAAAACAAATTAACAACTAAGAATGGACCTTGATGTTCTTGATATTTTTATCTTTGTACTTCTAATGGTTATGAGGATACCTCAACCACTGTATTTTGATTTTCAGTACACATTTTTACTTTTTATTTTTTTTTAAAATGATTTTTTTTATGACATCATATGACATAACTCATTATGTGCCACTTAATTTAATTTTTTACGCAAGTGCCACCAAAGAGAAGAATTAGAGAGTTTAAGATGAAGAAGGGAAGAGCGAGAGTGGAGTTGGGGAAAAGTTGAGGGAAAGTGAAATTGATAAGAGGTTAGAGTTTAAATATTTTAATTTTTTTACTTTTAGGATTAGAAAATTAGAAATTTAAAATTAGGACAGTGATTGGTACATCTAATATTTCAACACCTGATTCAACAACTTCCGGTTTAATCATTAAAAAATCACTATTTTTTAGTCTGAAATTAAAAATAGATAAGTATAGTAATACAATCATGCACATAGGATACAGGAACTCATTGAATTAACTGTATTTATATTATATTTTTAATAACTAAACCGAAAAGTGTTGAACCAGATGTTGAAATATTGGGTATACCAATCATTTCTCTTAAAATTAACTTTTAAGTAATCTAATAATAAATAAATAAATAAAGGTTTGGGTTATTTCAGGTGATCTGACCCACCCGTAACTCGACCCATTGGGTTCGAATAATTTCAGTTTGGGTCATTTCAGATTTCGAATTAACATATGAGACCCATTACCCTATTCACAACGGATGGATTGGGATGGATTTTCGGATTGAGTCCAATTTTGCCAAGTCTACACATAAACGTTCATTCAGTGTATTAGACAAATTATTGAGGAAAAAAATATGTAAATAAAAATATTAATTTTAAAATATTTTTAATTTAAAGATATGAATTTTATTAATTTTCAATTATGGCAATAAATTTTTTTATTTAAAAATATTATAGTTACTTTTTTTATTCAATTATGTCAATTTTATATTTTTTTTCTATTTAAAAATCTCAATTTTACATTTGTCATATCAATATTATTACCTAATTAATACTTATACAAAAAATTATAAAATTAACATTTTTAAATAAAAAATTAAAAATTTATAGCCTTTCAACCATAAAATATTCAATCGATTTATGGTTGGATATTTACATTGTATTTGAGCCACATTGATTTCTATTATTAATTTCTTCATTTTAGAGTATTGCACGGACATGAAGAGCACAATATATATATATATATATATATGAAAAGGTTTTTATCAGGCAAAAAATTAGGCGAAACGTTTTTAATTAAAATAACACCGTTTGCCGTCAACCTGCTTCCTTCCTTCACCCTCATTTTTCCGACTGATTTAATTCAGCATCCCTAACCTATGTTGATTTCTCTTCCTTTGTTCCTCATCTATAATGCCCTGCTTCACTTGTGGTTTGTTTATTTTATTATTGGATCTCTTTATTAATTTTCTACTCTATTAAAAGAGGTAAATAAAATGTGTAATACTCTATTTTTATGATAAAAGAACAGAGTACCCTTTTTCCTTCTCTATATTCCATTCTGTTAATTTTAATTCTATTTCCTAGTAGTATGGTGGAAAATGACGACAAAGGACAGTAGCTTATGTGGACTCCTCGATGACTAGTCACTAGTGCTGCCCATCGTGTCAGCTTTATTTTTAAGAACATTTTTTATTTACACTTTAAATATTATTATTTCTTATTTTTCAAAAATTTAAAATTCATATAAAATGTAAAAATTAAGTAATAAAGTGTCTATTTTTTTAATAATGTTGATTAAAAAAAAATTTCAAAAGATATTAATTAGAAGAAATAATAATATTTAAAATATAAATATTAAATAATAATCTAAACACAAGGTGATTCTAGTACTACCAAAACAACAGTAACTATTTGTTTATTTAACAATAAAATAAATCTAAAAACTACTTAAAAACAAAATATATTATAAATCATTTATATTAACTTTCTCATGGCCCTGGCCACAATTTTCTTTTTGTCTTTGATAAACATTCGAGTAACCTAGATTAAAAAATAAATAAAAGTTTTTTTTTTTATTATGCAATCAAAATAAACTTAGAATGGCATTTCCATACCCACATTTTTGTTCCTTTCTCAAGCGGTTTTGATGTGTTGATTCCACACCGACATCAAATTGATTTCGTGCTCTTAAGTTGCTGGAAAATGTCGATGAAATTATTCAGCAGTCTGCGATTACCTTAAATCACCTTCTACTAAGCATAAAAAGTTCTGGGACAAAACTAGTATTTAAATCTTATACTAAAAATTGTTCACCAACATCAAATTGATTTTGCTTGATCTGCATGTGTTGATGATTTATAAAGATATTTTTGCCTTTTTACACTATGGATTGAAGATTTTTGTTTAGAATTAAAAACTCAACTGCAAAACAAATGCCAAACCGGCTGCAATTGAAATCATTTTTTCTTTCAACTCGGGTTCTCCAAGAGAAAAAAATGATCTATATGATTGGAAAATTCATGACCCTGCATTCCCAGAAATTAAATTGATTTGATAAGGAAGAGCCGAGAAGAAAATTAAAGCAAACTCCAAAAATTCATTAAGAAAAATAAATGAGTTGCAAAACCTAACTACCATTACATAGACGTTGGCAGTTTATGTGTTTTATCTCATTTTGATAATACGAAGAATGCCACCTTAGTCTTCAGATAAATCTCATATCTAAGAGTTTAATATGTGTTTTCACTCATTATAATTAAATTTACTAGACAAGAAGCCACTAAAAATTTTTTACGCTGAATGACAATCTTTTGGACTCTTTAATGATTTCTCTCGCTAACCGCCTTTAGATCTGGATGAGCAACAAGGTTCTTAGTTCCTAATGCAAGTCGAGCCAATAATGACAAACACGCATCATCTGGTAGCAATGTTAGATGGTAAACTTTTATCATTTCCTTTTATGGTTCTTGCAACATTGTTGTCTTGAGTTGTAACAATTATTTTACTTTCAGGTGCTGTTGATGGGAAAAGTCTTTGCAAGATATCCCAAAGGTTGTAGTTTTTTAAGTTCCAAATATCGTCTAAAACAAGTAAAAACTGCTTTCCTAATAACTTTCCTTTAATTTCTCTTGAAGCAAACTATCGTCAAGAAAATCACCCCTTTCTTTTGTTCCTTGCTGTAAAATGGTTCTTGTTATCTAGAGAACATCAAAATCGTTAGAAACACAGACCCATGCTTTCAATTCAAACCTACACTACAGGTTGAGAAGAAGTAAGTGGTCTTCTTGAAGCTTCTTTTTTGGATTTTTTGCCATCTTCGACCCTCATGAGACTGATCAACCCTACTGCTCTTGTTGCAGTTTCAAAATGTTGCAATCTGGTAGTAAAGCCATAACCTCTCATGAACCAAGCCATTGAGGTCAGCAAGCCATAACCTCACGGCCCGGTCAGTTACTTGCTTCTCTTTTGCATCTTCAAGTAAAGCCATGATTTTTGGCAAAAGAGCCTTCCAATTTCGCAGCTCAGCAACTAATTTCTTTTTCAAGATCAGCAATTCACTGGAATCTAACTTTTCTAGAAGCAACATGAATGCAGCGGGTAAAAAAGAGCCTCCACTGACAGATACATCTTCCATGGAGATTAGAGGCTGGTGTTACAGTAAGTCTGACACCCTCCTCTGCAATGTTTGCCTATACACATGCCAGAAAGATTAATTTTAAATTCTTCTTTTAATACTTTGCCTAAAGGTTTTAATGGATATATTCAAGATGCCGAAATAAAGCAAAAATATATCTATCAACATATCATAATCAAATTTCCAAAAGTCCAATCTCTAGCAATGCAATTGGATATGTTCTCTTTCTTCATCAAAAGTTCTGTTGGTTTAGAATGATTTTGCAGTCATATCTTAACACACGAATTAATTCTTCTGCATTTGTTGTTGATAACACAGTTTATCATTCTATCTACTTTTTAAATATGCATTAAAACAATAAAAACAGCATAATGATAAGCATAAACAGAACATAATAAAGTTATCATCATGATATATCCAATTCAGATAATGAAATAAGCAACTTAAATTTACAAAAAATTTAAACCGGAGCAAAAAAGTTACCATCAAGCTCAAATGCCAATTAAATACAGCTTTAAAATGCCAAAATCTTCAAGTTCCTAAATAAATGATTCTGATAGGACACAAATGAGCTTTCTTGCTCAATGTTGTGCTCCCTTATTGTTAAGTGAGAAATCTCACATTGATCAACAAAGTAGAAACTTGTGAACTGGAATACAATATGTGCGGCTGCCATACTTAGAATACAAAAGTGAAATGGCAGATCAACTAATCTTTGTCTCTTTCAAAGCATAAAAGCAGAGGTCATAAGGTCACAAGTGAATGTAGGAGAAAATTCAGTTACCCTCTCCAAGAGGAAAATTTGGTATAGAGGACACGCTGATCAAATCTCAAAATGTTGGGAGACTGGGATAGCAACCTTCTAAGCTGCAGCAATCAAACTTTTTTCATTTGAAGGAGGCTCAAGCTTCTCATGGCAGAAGGTAACCCTCTGACACTTGGGCTTCTGCAAGAAAGAAAGAATATTTACTTGATAAGAATAGCATTTCAGTTAACATATCTGATATCCTGAACAATATTGTGTGGAAAAAAAACCACTAATATCGTTATTACCTTTTTTGTTTGACTCAGCCAAGTTGATAAAAACTTGCAATTCAAATTAGAAACTTTTGCAGAAGGGCATGCCTGAGCTTGACAAAATCAGATCACAAGCTTGTCAGTTGTCATTATCTTTATCTCAATTATAGCTGGACAAAAGAAAAACAATTTCTTAAAAAATGAAAAGAGGGAAAACTTACAAGGTATCTAGAGGACTAAACTGTATTACATTTGTCATTTGCATTTGAAGCACAATCTAGTACAAGCTTGGTAATATCTCCGCAGATTATAGCCTTTCCTCTTCCAGTTTCAAGAAAAATCCAATTTGAATGTGCTGTTCTGTACGCCCCTCCAATTTCTTCAAAATGGAAAGAAAGAAAAAATAAATATATATGCAAGATTTTGCAAGAATTTACTGCAAAATTTTTTTCTAATGTTTTGGTAAGTTATTTACCACATAGATGAGAGTCAAATGGGAAAACAATAAAATTTTAAAATGCCTTAATATTGTATTAATAAAATTTGTTACAAAAGAGCTTTCTTAAAATGCCTGGGGTAGCAACCTTAAAATTTCGTTTCCACTGAAATGAGGATTAAACTTCTTATAACAAAGGAATCCATTTGCAGGAAAAAAGAAACCTTATTTCTTGATAATAAACAGCAGTTCAGTTAACATATCTGATGTCTTAAAATCACCATTACCTTTTTTTAACTAACTCAGCCTTGCAGAGGAAACTCTTGCAGAAGAGCATGCTTTGAGCTAGAAAGAATCAGATTACAACCTTGTCAGTTGTCAATATTTTCATATTGATTCTTAGCCTAAACGACAAAAAACAAGTTCTCAAAAATGTAAAGAAAGAAATCATACGAGGTGTCTATAAGACTGATTTGTATTGAATTTGTTATTTGCATTTCAAGCACAACTCTGCTACAAGCTTCGCAATATCTCCACAAATTATAACTTTTTCCTCTTCCAGATTGTAGAAAAATCCCCTTAGAATGTCTTGCTTTGTTGCCTCCTCCAATTTATTTAGAATGGAAAGAAAGAAAAAATAAATTAGGTACTTGAAGTTAGGAAAAGGGTTCCAACTTCCAGAAAGTAATCTCAGAACATACCTTTCCTGCAGGCATCAGCCTTTTCATAATCGAATCTACAACAGGCTTCAGCATAACCCTTCTTCTATGATGCCTCTTCTTGAACTCAGGATTGGAGCACTGCATGGAGCATATAACTATTTTCATTTAACCAACACCAGAAAGGTAAAGTGATTCTTCTAATGTCATAATAGCACCAACCAAGATTGAAACTAGCATCAAGGGTCTAGGATATGCAACATTAATTGTTCTAAGAAAATAGAGGCATTTACAAAAAAGAAATGTCTACAATACAATTCAAGTGATCCATCATCAGATCTGAAATAAACTATAACACACCTCCCTAGGCACTGTTAGTCCTAAGAGAGTTCGGAAGCAAAATTGATAGTAAAGAATTGCAGCGGAAGTAAAAACACTCATGATATAAAATATTTCTTCAAAAGAAAGCCTACATTCAGAAAATCAATTTAATAAAAAGAATACCATATATATATTGGAAAATACCAAAATATTCGAAGTTATAAAATAAGCCGAGCTAAGCTCATTTATAATTAATTTAAAGGTTTTATACAGAAAGCTAATTTGCACAAAAATTATACGAGGCAAATTCTTCTTCAAAGCTTTTCAAAAACAAAAGCTGAGTCATGGTTTTGGTAACACATCGATCTGCCTCCTTATCGAAAACACGAGGCCCTAGCTTGTACATACAACGAGCAAGCGAGTCCCGTGCCAAAAGCTCCTAAACCGAGACGCTGCTACCTCGATCTACTGATCTGAAAGGGGGGGGAATTTTATGAGCTCACAGCCCAGTAAGTAATAAGTTTAAGCTATAAACTTGGGTCCTAAGACCCTTAGACCTATCCACACAAAGAGCATAAGACACAACGGAATCAAATCATAAACACAATGTCAAGTAATAATCAATGACATTTAAACTGAATTCATATACTAAAGTTATATGCTCACAAATACGATGTCACAAGCACAATGCATAAAATCGAAAATCACACAATGCTATGGAGTCCACTGAAGTGTGCTAGCAACACTGTACTGGAGCTAATCACAGTACTAACCCTACTGCGCAGAGGTCCACTGAATACCCCGAAGGGTCCACTAAATACCCCAAGCGTTAAGCTTAGGTCCACTTACTCCATAGCTACAAACACATACACATGTCAAACAAATTCATAATATGTTCAAAATAATATTAGGATTTCTTATTGAAAGAGATCAAAGCATAATGCGTGAACAGTAATCGGTGAACAGTAATCGATGAACAGTAATCCATGAACAGTAATTGATAAACAGTAATCCGTGAACAGTATTTCGTAAATAATCCAATTTCCTTCTAATTTCTGCAGCATAAATCACACCCAAATCACACAATAGAAAGGACTAACTCACTATTTTTGCCATATAAGCCCAAAATTAATGATATTTCTAATAAAAGTTTAATACCCAAAAACCTTATAAATCAAGGGATTAAAATCAAATCTCACTAATTTAAACTATCCAAAACTCTAAACCAAAATTCATAACTAAAACTTATACTTACCTAATAAAAGCACCTTAACCTTGGTTGGGAGAAAGAAGGAAGAAAAGGATGGAGGTGGAAGAGGAAGGCATGAGAAAGCAAAATGAGGCTTTTGGGAGGCTTCTGGAGACTTATCCAAGCTTCCACCGACAAAGACCAAAAACTTGGTTGGGAAAATGCCATGTGGTAAGTAAAATTGGTATAATTGAGTTATGGTCATTCAACTTCTACTAAATTCTACTTAAAGCCCTCAAACTTTAAATTCAATCAATTTAGTCCCTAAAACTATAAACTAAAGGACACTAATTTTTAAATTATTCACTAAGGTATATGGGGTGTTACATAAACTGACTCATCAAATAGGGTACATTTAAGCATTAAACTTAGAATTGGCATAGATTTCTCTTTCAATAACCATCCTTTATCTTCACAAGGCATGGTTGGATTGTGCCAATGTGCTGAAGTCTACAAGACACTGTATCAAGCTGCTTTCTCATGTCAAGAGCAACTTCAAGTATAGCAGATTGGACAAAATCCTGTTACTCAAACCATACAATGTCCATAAAAGATTCTAACATTTATATTTTAGAACCCCTATTGTTAATTCCAGCAACTGAACCTACAACTGTGACATAGAATGCTTTATCACTTCAATTGCCATGTATCATAAAATGAATGCCTTTTATTCATATCGAAACACAAAAACCAATGCATATACAAGATTTTGCATGAATTCACCACAACTAAGCATAACTCAAAACATGAGAGAAAATAAAATTGAGTGAAATTGGAAAACAAAAAAATTTGCAACTTCTAGAAAGTAAGCCTATCTCACAACATGCCTTCTTTCCCAAGCATCAACCTATTTATGGTTGAATCCACTAAGGCTTCTCCATAGCCCTTCTTTTATGATGCCTTTCTTGAAATGATGATCTGGGCACCGCACAGAGCACATAACTATTTTCGTTTAACCAACAACTAAAAGGTAAATTAAATTTTCTAGTGCCAGAAGGCCTAGAAGTGCACAAACCAAGATTAAAACTAGCATCAAGGGTCCAGGACAAGAGGATACTAATTGTTTGAAGGAAACTGAGGCATTGGCAAAAATGAAATGTCAACAATACCGATCAAGTGATCCATCATCACATCTGAAATAATGTAGTTCATCAAATAGGATAGGTTTTAACCTTAGAACCAGCTCTTTACTCAAATCTTAGCACACATAATCGACTGTAGGGTAATTAAATAGCGTGACTATCCAGATAATCTCAATAGAAAAATGGAAAAGGAAGATCAAGAAAATGTCTTAACACAATCAAAAGAATTCTTAAGCGAGTTAGAACTAGTCCAAGGAGTTTATTACCACACAGCCTTTCAGTGAAACTATCAGTGAATACTTGATTCCAATCAGGTACTGTTGCTAGCATCTACCCAAAAAATGGTAATTTCAAAATTTTTTTTTCTAATTGCAACAATAATAACAAAAAGAGGTAAATGACTAAATCATTAATATTGAATCCAATGAAACAATCCTCAGAGGAATTTAAACTTACAACAAAAGATGAACTAATGTTGACATGTTGTTGACTCTTATACTAAGCAGCTATTTATATATTGAGCAGTCAATGAGTCTTCACAGAATACAAGGATGGCAACTTTCCAATCTCCAGAAAACCAACATCTTTTCAATTGACATAAATGTTAAGCTTCAGAAATATACAAAGATCTTCTGCGTCTTGTGCTTTAGGCTGCAGAAGAAAGAATAATCCTTAGTAGTTTTCTTGATTACTACATAGCCTTTCAGCTATGATTTTTTATTGGCCATTTCTCTATGATTTAATATCCAAATCCTAATCCCAAACATTTGAGGAACTTATGGCATTAACAAAAAAATAGAAAAAAAAAAAAACTAAAACCAATATTACCTTTTATTTAGATTTAAATTCATTTGATTGTCATCCTGTTTTGAAGCTAAAACAAAAGAAGAGATTATTTAGATTAGCCATTTTCCAAGTTCTAACAAAAGGGTGAAAATAAATTCAATTACAGGAAAAAAAAAAAAAAACTGTGAATGATTATGATGAGTATTTTTGTAAAGTGATAACATAAATAAAATTTTTGTTTTGTCTCTAAACTTGTGTGGCTTTCATCATCCTAAAAAGAAAGAATAAGATTAAGTTTCAAGATATAGTAAGGGAAAATATATTCCTAAATTAATTTTGAAAAGACAAATATTTATTTGAAAATTTGAGAATAACTACATAGTACCGGAGCATAAATGTAGGGGATGTGAGCTATGAGGGGCCAATAATCTCCTTTCTCCTCCAAGCATCGTTGTTTTAGCAATGGGCAGTTTTTCATCCGGAGTCGTTCAAGCAACGGAGGTAGGCCTTCCTTTGGCAAGGACTGCAGCGTTGGGCAATCCTCGATTACTAAATCTTGAAGAGAGTTAAGGTTTTGAAAAGCCCTCTAGCTATGGATTTCATATTTTCAACCTTACCTACCACAAGATTGGTTAGAGAAGTGGGAAACACATCAGGATCAGGACATGTGCAATAAATCTCCAAGGATAGAAGAGAGGTGAGGCTGCTAAGGCCTCATTCATACATCGGCTTCTTCAGATTCTTGCAACCAATTATAAGACTTCTAAGGTTTGAGGGAAAACCACGGGCTGGAATGGATTCAATCCCTTGATAGTCAACAATTTCAAGATCAATTAGGTTTGGAAACAAACCATCACCTGGAATGGACTCGATCCCTATACACCCATAAATTTGAAGCCGTGTTAAGTTCGAAGGCAAACCACTATCTAAAATGCACTTGATCCCTGGACAATTGCTTATATATAATCTAACGAGAGAAGTTAGGTCGTGCATCTTGTCAGGCAAAGACTTGAGATTCCTGCAATTTGATATGTATAACTCTTTAAGATTGGAGATGGACAAGGAAACTGACTCCAAACCATCACAATTGCGTATCCATAAAGAAGTGGGCCCATGCATGTCCTCAAAACTTAAACTTTTCATATCACCTCCATAAATACTAATCCCTTCAAGTTCAGTACAATACTGCAGCATCCTTTGAGGCGGAGACTCCAGTTGCTTACAATTCTCGATATAAAGCCATTTAAAAGCATTGGGTAACTGACCACTTGGAAAAGATTTCAGACAAGGACAACTGAGAATATTTAATCTTTTAAGTTGTGGCACTTGATATGCATCACCATTATTCATCAATATTCCTTTTGGTAAAGACTCTAGCTTTTCACATCCATCAATTCGCAGGACTTTAAGCGTGATGGGTAACTTGCCTCTTGGGAACATTTGTGTTGACTCAATATACTCCAAGAAGGGGTGAATTGGAGTTCCAAAAATTCTTCCCTTTTTCAACAACAAAACCAAAGTTAAGGAGAGTAGAGAAGAAGAGCTTGCACAATGAATTTATAGAGGTTCGGTCCAACCACTTGGAGCCTAGTCCTCTACCTTGGCTTCACTCACCAAGGATTTCCTCCACACTTTTCACTAAGAAAGACAAGGGTGGCTTAAAGGAGCTACTCAATCCTTTTACAAGAAAATGAGTATTTCTTTGAAACCTCACCCTTTTACAATGTAAACCCCATAAATCCTCTCAATAGATCACTCTTGAAGGAATCAACACACCCCCAAGATCACTCACTAATAGCACAAGAAGATGATTACAAACAAAGATCTCTCAAAAATCAAAATCTCTAGTTAAAGCACAAGTTGGTAGGTAAAGATATTCAATATAATGTTCTCCAAACTTCTTTAGATTTGTTACCAACTATATTTATAGCCCTTTGCTCGAAAATAGCCGTTGGGGGTCATTAAATGCCCTGCAGGACGCAAAGCTCAAGTTGCAGGATTATCAAGAGAGCCGGCTTAATTTCCTAGAGCCGGCTCTGTACCGCCGGCTCACCATTTCTGCAGCCGGCTCTACGGGTTTCTTGCACATTCTGTTTTCTTCCACGGCCGGCTGCAAAGCTTAGAGCCGGCTTTGGGATTTCAACTTTAAACACATTAAATAATCTTCAAATAACTCGACCGTTGTGCATTAAATGCACCCTCACAGCCGGCTACAAAGTGGGAGCTGGCTCTGCTTCCATTTTTTGCGCGCGCCAAAGCAGCAGTTTGAATTTCTGGCCTATAGAGCCGGCTCAACAAAATCTGCAACCGGCTCCCTGCATTTTTGCTTCCCCGAGCCAGCTGTAATTTTCTTAAGCCAGCTCTCTGCATATTTTTACCCTTTGAGCCCTTTTTAATGCAATCTCATTTTGCTTACTTTGTAGTATATTGGCAATTTAACTACACACTTAAATAAATTAATTAGTCACTCAAATGTGTTTTGTAATCATCAAAATCATAGGTACAACAATCTCCCCCTTTTTGATGATGACAAAACACTTTGATCATGAAAGCATATATACTTCAATATTAACTTCAAAATTTCAGCACCAAGAAAATGACATTAAGACATTCCAGAAAATTATGAGAATTCAGCATACGTTCTCCCCCTTTTTGTCATTCATCAAAAAGTATATAAACATAAGCAATAAACTCCCCCTTAATTCATGCTATCAACCTTTAAAGCATCAAGAATATGTAATGAATATAATCATCAATCATCATCAATATAGCACCATAGACAACTAAAGTCATGAATACAATCATCAACCAATAAACTCCCCCTCAATAAGAGTATATAATCATCAAAATCATAGACAATCAATACCAAAAGTCATAAACTGCAGGAGAGCTGGCTCTAGTCCTGGAGCCAGCTTAATTCTAGAGAGAGAAGACTCTCATGGTTTTTGGGTTGAGCCGGCTCTAAAAATGGTTGAGTCGACTTTGAAAATGGTTGAGCGGCTCTACTGGCCTTGATTGGAACAAGTAAAAGGTTTGGGGCTGTTTGGAAGACAATGCATCTTAATTTGATATTTCTTCATTTAACTAAGTTTAAATTGGATATCAACTACTAAATAATGTAACTTTAGTCATATATCAATGTATGCATCATTAAATATCATGAATATAATCAAGGTACACATATCAAAGTAATCAATATGCACAAATGTTAATAAGCAAATTCATTAATTTCAAGAATCATATCAAGCACTAGGATCTAACATATCAAGCTCATTTCTAATGAAGAAAAACCTATCACGATCAAGAGGCTTTGTAAAAATATCAACTAATTGATTTTTAGTGTCAACAAATAATAAATGGTTAAATACCCTTTTTGGTCCCTCTACTATAGGAAAAAGACCTTTTTTGGTCCTTGTACCGAAAAAATCCCCTTTTTGGTCCTTACTATTCACAAATCCGGTCCCTTTTTAGTCTTTCCGTTAAATTTTGGCTGATGTGATAGGTTAATTAACAGAAAAACTCATTTTGTTTTTTTATTAAATTACGTGGAATATCCATTTGGCGAAAAATGATGACATGGTTAAATTTTTTACTTTTAATTACTGATTAATATTGATGACATGGTAAAATTTTTTCCTTTAATTACTAATTTACCCTCTTCTTTCTTCCCCATCCTTTCCTTCCTCCGGCCTCTTCTTTTTTTTCTTTTTCTCCTTTTACCTCTAGG